AGGGGGTGTACCGAGACCTCATATAGGTGGGGTTCGTACCTACACCACTACCTCACATATCACGGTGCTGTACTCTGCTTTGTTCATCCAATGCTGGGACCTCATCTATGGCCAATTTGCCCGCTTTCTTCCCTGATAAGTTCATTTACATCTTCAAATTAATATTTCGATTTGACTGTCGTGAAATGAGTCTTTAAGCCCATTCAAAAATGTTTCGATGCTCTTGAGAAACGTCCAAAAAGTTATTTTTCTGTTCTATTGACTAAATGTTCTGTTGAATTTCTGGAAGGTCATGTAATGTAAAGGTAGTGTTCATTCACCGAAAGTTAAGGTCCAAAGGTTCACTTTGCATTGCTGTTCGGCTTGGGGGGGGGTATTTTGCACTTTCGCTAGTCCCTTTTGTTATTTTGTGTTAACCGACAGATTCCACTTTGGTCAGACCTGTAAACTCCTGTGAAGCTACGAAATATTTGAATGAACCACTTTGGTCACAGGAGTTTACAGGTCATCACAAGGAGAGCTGTACAAGCCTAGCTGATTGAGTACCATGCGGTGTCTCCAGCCGATCTACGCCCATTTTTCTTCTATCGAACTTTGTCCCTTTGTTTACCCGGACATCTGGAACTGGCAGAAGAACCGCATATCACATTGGAATCGAAATTTATCGCTCTGAAGGCATTTTCCTTCTTCAAAGGCGTACACAGATGTCGGTGGATAGTGAACCCAGAAAGTATTAGCATATATTGGTGTTGAGAGAAAATACCTAGGCGATTAGTTTAGAATGCATTCGAATCGAAATAATGTTGACGTAGTATCGAATTGTCTGATTTATAGTTCTCGCCGCGAACCGTGCGACATCCATCATGGAAGTCAACGATCCTGTGCCAAAAACTGGGGTGAACACGTCCAGGTTCGACTTTGTTCCTTTTGCTTAAATACCCATGTTTCCAAGTTGTCTGATTATTGTGGGTATTTTCAGGGCAATAGAAGTGTTGACTGAGCTTTGCGACTCGTTTGACGCTGGTCTTATATCTGGCGATTCTTGCAATCGCCTGTGCTATAATAGAAATTGGAAAATCAACGATTATTATGAGGGAAATAAGGTGGATAGGCTGTTTGATCTGAAGAGTCCAATAAGTTGGTAACTATTCACTTCAGGTTGTTCTGGTCATGAAGGATGGCGGACAGACGGCAGTCTTCAAAAGCATTCACCCATCCATGAATGACTTCCCTCGAGTAAACAAACAGCTATCGTATGACGAGTTTTCGGACAAGGTGAGCAGTCTACATGTTTTTTTTTACTTCACACATGAATTCTTTATTAGTTTACATTGTCTAGTGGTCTAGAAGGCTAGGACTTCGAATAAACGTCATGCTTTTTCAGGTTCTTGCCCTGGTCAACGACGAGTTACGATTGGGTTGGCCACGACACTACAAGAAACATCTAATGGAAACACTTTGGCCAACTCTGCGGAGGTAGTCACTTCCACTTCTGAAGCTTGAAGGCCTAAGGCACGATAAATGGACAGGGCGTGAGGGGGTAAATGGCACGGAAGATTATTGTGGTCCCCGGACCAGGGGCTGCGTGGCGCCTTTTCCAGCCAGGGCACATCATCGTTGGGTAGTTAAACACGTGGTTGTATTTGGTTGCTGGGGGATTCGCATTCGGCCTAAGAATTTTTTTTTGATAGTTGATTTTTCTTGTTCTCGCGTACGCTAGAAGGGGGGGGGGATGGTATTCGCCTTTAGAGAAATTAGGCGTTGGGAGAAAATTGTCCCGTTTGTTGATTTTTCGCTGTTTGTCCTGTTTCAAATGTGCTAGTTTTTCCTG